GAATTGTTTCATCTAGCTGTCGATCGAAAAACATTTAATCATCTGGTTAATACGACAATACCCAACGCTTGAAAACAAGCACGGCAAACAAAGAAGATTAGATAAAACCTTTTTTACTGACGAATGTTGGTTGGATCTTTCTGGGTATACAAATTCTCAGAATATGAGGATGTGGAGTCCAGATAACCCGCATTATTATATTGAAATGCTTTTATATCCACAGAAACTTGAAGTTTGGTTTGGAAGCGAAGTATTTTCGGACCCTTATTTTTTGAAGAGATTCTAAATGCTGAAAGATAATTTGAAATTGTTTCACAAAACTTCCGTCTTCTGCCGAAGTCATTTGCGTTCGAGTTCGATAAACTGCAGATATTGACAATTTAAAATTGTTACCTATAGACAGAACCGAGGCATGAGGATTTTCAACAACCTTCAACATAACATTCTGGCGATCATCATCATTTTTGATATCCCACGTTGCTTATCCATCGTGATCTAGGTAAAACTCTAAAGCTCTCATACTTATCAAATTTTCTATATATCCATATTAAGTGATTCGCACATTTTTGATTAATTGCACAATTTGTCTTAACAAACTCTAATCAAAATGTCTGTTCTTTGTTTGTAATTAAAACGCATTTTTTTTTTAAATTATTCCACTGCGGATAGTGTATGCCAAATATTTTACAATTTTTATAATATTTGTTCACATACTTTTATTTAATGGGTAATAAATCAAAACGAATAATAAAAACTGATATATTCAGTGGCAACAATTTTAATTGGTTGAACAGCAATTTCTATATATTTTCGCGGATATTTCATAAAGTAATTAAAGCAGGATAGCTAAACCCTATTTGGTTTAGTCTGTCCCTGAAAGGACTATTTATTTTTTTTAATTAACCCGGCCAGCGTGTTGTATGTAGAAAATCGCCCACGTCGTTCATTAGCTCTTGTTAAAATAGTGGCAACATTGCCAAATTCTTGTGGCGTCACGAATACCTTTTCATAATACAATTATTTGCATTGCATCATAAATTTTAGTGTATAAATAAGATTTGAATAAGTGATGTCGCGTTCTTTGGACTTGTGGGTGATTTTGACCTCACCACATAGTTGAAGTTTAGTATTATTTAGTATTTCGTCATTTTCACCCCACAACATTGGTTCATTTTTAAGGTAAGTTCTTATACTCCTCCTCCTCAATCCTTTAGCCCTTGTCAGGGCGTAGTGACACCCTAAATATTATTAGTCTGCTGTCTCCATTGACTGCGATCTTGTGCCATATGGACGGCTTCATGTAGGGATTTTCCCACCAAACTCTTCATTTGGTCCACCCATCGTATTGGAGATCTTCCTCTTGGTCTTCGGCCTTTTACTTTACCTTCTACTACCAATAGTTCCATGGTGCCCGTTCTTCTAGCTATGTGGCCGAAGTAAGTTAGGTATGCTTGGTTTACTTTTTTTAGTAGCCTGTCTTTTATATGAAGCTCTTCCAGAATTGACAGGTTGGTTCTATGTTCTGTCCAGGACATGCGTAGAATTCTTCTATATACCCACATTTCGAAGGCTTCGATCTTACTCCTATCGATTTTGTTGAGAGTCCATGTTTCAGCTGCATATGTAGCAATGGGAAAAATAAGGGCATTGACCAGCCTAAGCTTAGTATTCCTTGTTATTGTTCGGTCTTTCCATATTTTAATTAATTTAGCAGTTGCGGTTTGGGCCATTCCTAGTCTACGTTTGATTTCTGAGGAACAATCACCATTGTTGGTTATCAGAGAGCCCAAGTATACAAATCTGTCGACTACTTCGAAAATCCCTATTTGGCGTATATGCGGTAGATTATTATTTGCTCTGTCTACAATCATTATTTTTGTTTTTCTGGTGTTGATTTGAAGTCCGAATTCTTCACTTATTCGGCTTAGCCGTTTGATGATGGTAATCATTTCGACTTCATTCGCTGCTAGTATAAGTGTGTCATCTGCGTATCGCAGGTTACTGATTTTTCTGCCTCCTATAGTGATTCCTCCATCCCATTCATCTAGTACTTTTCTCATTATATATTCAGAATATATGTTGTACAATAATGGTGATAGTATGCAACCTTGTCTAGTTCCTTTCTCTGTTTTGAATGCATTTTAATATATTCCATGTACTTTAACTTTGGCTGAGTTTTTATTATACAGATTTCTTATTAGGTTAACTAGGTGGTTAGGTACTCCCATATTTTCCATTATACTCCAGAGAGGATCCCATTTTACTGAATCAAAAGCCTTTGTGTAATCTACAAAACAGAGCAACATTGGTATGTTATGTTCTCTCGCTTTTTCTACTATCTGTCTGGTGTTGAGTATTTTCTCACGCGTTTCCTTTCCTGGTACAAATCCACATTGTTCTTCGGCTATCTCTGGAAGTAGAAAGTTCTTTAGCCGTTCATTGATTATATGTAGCAGGATTTTGCTTGCATGAGGGATAAGGGCAACGGTTCTGTAATTGCTGCATATGGTTAGTGATCCTTTTTTATGGATAGGGATCAAGGTTGATTCACACCACTCATCAGGCCATTCACCTGTGATCCATATCATGTTGCACATATCCAGCATTACATCTACGCCAATTTCGCCTATTGCTTTTAGAGTCTCCGCTGTTATGCCATCGATTCCTGGAGTTTTTTTGTTTCTTAGTTGGTTAAGAGCCTTCTCTACTTCTGCTCGTAAAATGATTGTTTCAGCTTCTCTGATTGCATGTTTTTTGTGTTCTGAAACTGATGCGTCATCTTTTGAAGTGTCTTTGTATAATTCTGAGCAGTAATTTTTCCAGGTCTCTGCGATGCTCTCTATGTCGGTTTTTACTTCTCCATTAGAGTCTTGAATGGCTTGAAGTTGTGGCTTGAACTCTCTTTAATTTAAAGTTTATCTTTAATTTAATATTCTGAAATATATTTTATCATAAATGCACACATTTATTTGTCAACGTTCTAGATAAACGATAAAACAACACTATATCTGACAAAACTCCATGCAAAACAGAACATTTCTGGTGATATTTGTCGCCAAGTGATGTCACACGTGCAAAAGAGATAGACTGATCGCGTGCTCGTGGGTTTATCTTAGTTACTAGTATCATGGTACTGAGGCCTTGTATCAATGAGTAAGCTACTGAAGACCGTGGTTGCCAAATGTAATTTTTTTCCGAAATATTAGCAATTTTTAATACGTGCGGTCTTTTTGACCATGTAGCGACTAGTTAAGGGTTAATAATCAATAATAATTTTATTTAAAAAAAAAACATCTGGCGAGCAGTGTACCTAAATATCAAAAGCTGTACTAACCCACAAAATAACCAGCTTATCTAATCCATTCAAATAACATTACCATCAATCTGCTCTTTCCACTTTTTCTCTCCACCGAAATCAATCACAATCAGTCAAATCAAATTTGCCTTCTTAGTGGTAGGTAAAACACAAAGGAATTACTTGGAATGAGAATTTATGTTCAACGCATCGGATTAAAGAAATCTAAAATCAATTATGGCCCATGTCCAGCGGAGTGCTTGAGTGATTAAAAAGCTCGTGGCTGAGCAGCTTTTTCACAAACGGTTACTTCGCCGCCACGATAGCGTGAGATATTGCTGCACACGCCCACACTGATTCCATTACGATTTATTCAATGACTATTCTCTTAGCGAACGGAAAAAATTCCTGAAAAAACAGGATTTCATTCGATTAAATATTGACAGTAATCACGGAATGTAAAAAGATAAATCCAAAGTTTTTATTGGAGGTAAAAAATGGATTTAATTCATAAAGCTCTGCAGACCATGTAAACCATGGAAAGCGTTACGTTAGCATTCGGTTTTATTTTTTATTTACAAGATATTATTACAAAAATTATGCTGACAATTCTGTAGCCTGGTTTCAAAAGATGGGCAACTCAAGAAATTTTCAGTATAGGTAAAAAACTATTTAAACTACTTCCACACAATTGGTACTGTTGAATTTTTTTTTGTTGATTAATAATTATTTCCAAAGTATCTTGAAATAATAATATTTATGCTTTTTACTGTACTTAAAGGGATATTTAACGTTGAAATATGGAGTTGACGTGTTTGTCACCAACATGTGGAGATTCGTTTTTGTCAGCAAAAATATTGCTGATGGTGTCGCTGATATCTTAAGTCAGCAGTAAAATATCAGTAGCAGTGCATCAGGACTTGCTCTATACTGAAGATCTTTTTAGTGATAATAAAAAAAGTTGAAATATGTCTTAAAAATATTAATAATTTATTGGGCTAATACAGTATTTGTCAATTAAATTTAAAACGCGATCAATACACTAACACCAAAAGTTCTTTAGATGCCTGCTTGATCGGTAGAAAATATCTGAATAATTCTGAATCAAAAGTCCACTACAACTTGGTTGACTTCTATGACTTTATCACAGTTTGCATTATTTAAGCACTCATATTCAGGAAGTGGATTTTCAGGCCTCATTTCATTATTGTTTATTACTTCATGATACCACTTCACATTCTCCATATCACTTCATTTTGCACCATACTGTTTTTGTAATTAAACGTGCACGTATTTAGTTTTTAAACGCATTCACTTTGACTCCTAAATGTTGTCATGACGCTTAACTTGAATTAATTGAACAACTGTAGTTTTGTTTGCCACTGACAGTTGACTGACTTTGGTTTTTTGGTCTTCCAATCGTGGTTGGTTGAGTCTTTTCCTAAAAGTATGACTGTCCCATGCTTACTAAACTCTGAATGATACTCTTAAAGCTGCACAATTTTATCTCTTTTCTTTAACCTTCGTTCTATGCCACTAAACATTCTATCACTAGCATATATGAGTGACCGGTAACAGGAAACACAATCTCCACTGTAGTGATTTAAGTTTTAGTCCTGTGCAGCCAAGCAATGCACATCATTATAACAATAATATTCTTGTTTTGGCTTGGACACATATCAGCTTCCAGCCTTAAGGTGTCTTTTTATTCAAAGTAACCAGATTTAGATCTGCACTTAAGTTCTTTGAATACTGCAGAGGCTATCTCATTCAAAGACTTTTTCATTTCGTATTCGTCCCAAGAGTAAATTGATACATTTTCTTTGCGTAAAGTTTCGATTCCAGTAGAACATCCAGAAACTATCGTCAGATTAAAGCAGTTTAACTGTCTTAAATAGTACACACTTTGATCTGGGGGCTTTGGCAGAAGCATATTTTTTTGCATGTCGTACATTATAGCAGCATTAGGTTCATCTTTTTCAAAAGGTTAAAAAACCTTTTAGCACGAGTAGTATAAACAGTGTACTCTGCTTTAATTGTTTGCAACATTGCCTAATTTTTTTCAACTTTTATTTTTTCTTTGTGCTGGAGAGAGGTTGAACATACATATCTGTTGAAGGCCTTTTAAAGCTTAAGTTGAACCTAATTACGAATATGTGTCGAAAAAAAAAACTTTTTAACCAACAACTGATTCTTCGTACATCTTCCACATTTTAGAAATAGACAGGGTAGCATGAAGATAAATACGAGTACTCCTCGATATACTCTAATGTGATTCTGTGCCTTCAAACTGCTTTACAAAATGTGTTACAGTATCGCCGTTTAAACGGCGATGAGAAATCCGTGTTTTTTAAATATCGTGAAAACAATTTCAACTCTGTGTTTTATAATTCCCAATACATTAATAAACGTGTATACATTTCTCTAATCTATCCTTCAATCTACTAACCAAGGAAACAATCTTCTGCAAACGATCATCTGTTGTTAGTGAATTATCGTTGAAATGCAGCGTTTTCCACGATAACTGTAAGCGATTTCTTGACATTGCTTTTTTGATAATATAAACATAAAGTAATAACCATACTTTATGTTTATATTATAAAGACCATAACCCTGTAATAACTGACATCAAAGTGAAGCTCAAAAAAATTTCAAGAAAGCCCCAAAACACCAAAATTAAATATCTCAATATCCAACAAAACTTCTAACAAGTCAGAAAATGACTTAAACAATGAGCTAAAGAAATCAATAAATGAAAACAACACAAAAATATGGAACACATTTAAAGATCTTACCTTGAAAGTAATAGAAAAATATTCAACAACGTTACACAGGCACAAAAAACAACAATGGATGACTGATGAAATCCTGGAATTAATGGAGCAGAGAAGGAAACTGAAAGGTAACAAGACAGAATATAAGGAAAACAGAAACTAATTAAATAAAAAATAAAGGTGGCTAAAGAAAAATGGATGGAGGATAAATGCAAGGAAGTAGAGGAGTTGAATGAAAAACATGATACGTTTAATATGTTTAAAAAAGTTAGAGAAGTAGCTGGTCTTTATCATAAGAAAACTCCAAATACAATAACCGATTCGTCGGGAAAAATGATAATAGACGAACATGAAATTCGAACAACCTGGTGTAATTATATAAGTGAACTGTATAATGATGATAGACCCGAAGAACCGGAGACTTTAGTTGAAGGTGAAGGAACAGAAATACTAAAATCAAAAATACTGCATGCTATAAAGTTAGCAAAGAACAAGAAAGCCGTTGGCCCTGATAACATACCGACAGAGATGTTAAAGCTTATAAATGAGGAGAACATTGGAATACTGGTCAAACTTTTCAATGATGTTTATTCGACTGGTGATATCCCTGAAGATTGGTTAAAGTCCGAATTCATAACACTACCAAAAAAACAACGTCCGAAAAACTGTAGCGATTATAGAATGATAAGCCTTATGAGCCACACTTTGAAAATATTTCTACGTATCATCCACAGTAAAATCAGAGATAAATGTGACGAAGATCAGGATGAAACACAGTTTGGCTTCAGAAATGGACTGGGAACTCGGGACGCCCTCTTTGCACTAAATGTATTACTGCAGAAATGTCGAGATCAAAGGAAAGACGTCTTTGCTGTATTTATTGACTATTAAAAGGCCTTTGATCAAGTACAGCATCACAAATTAATTACAATATTAAAAGATAAATGAGTTGATAGTCAAGATATACGATTCATAGAAAAGTTATACTGGCCTAAAACAGCGACAGCTTGCATAAACGGAAAATCAACAGAAATATGTAAAATACAAAGAGGTGTCAGACAGAGTTGTATACTATCCCCACTGTTATTTAATTTATATTCAGATAGAATATTTAAAGAAGCGCTGCATAATTTGGAATGGGGCGTGAAAGTTAATGGAATTCTGATAAATACAATCAGACATGCAGACGATACAGTTATTTTAAGTGATGACATGAATGGATTACAATGCCTTTTAAATGCCATTGATACAGTGGGAAGAGAGTTTGGCCTAAACATAAACTGTGCAAAAACAAAACACATGGTGTTTAGCCGTTTAGCACATCAAGATGCACGATTATATGTTGATGGTCATATAATTTAAAGAGTGTCCAGTTTTAATTATCTTGGTTGCCATATTACTGAACAACTAGATCCAGATCAAGAGATAAAATGTAGAATCGAGATAGCCCGCACGACATTTTTAAAAATGAGGTCATTCTTCTGTAATGATAACTTGCAACTTCAACTTCGAAAGCACATGGTTAAATGCTACATTTGGTCAGTCCTCTTATACGGTGTCGAAGCATGGACATTAAAAATATCCACCATTTATCGTCTGGAGGCCTTGAAATGTGGCTGCACCTACGGATACTAAAAATTCCATGGACGGCTATGCTGACAAATGTGGCAGTCCTTGAGAGAGCAAATACTGCTCGCGAGCTGCTTGATAACATCAAAATAGAAAGATGGTCTATTTTGGACACGTAGTAAGGGGAGACCGATATAATATTATTCAACTTATTATGATGGGTAAAATCGAAGGACGCAGAGGAATTGGTAGAAAGCAATCTTCTTGGTTGAAGAATATCGGGAAGTGGACAGGAATAAAGAAAGCTGAGCAACTATTTAGAATAGCTCGAGACAGAGACAGTTTCGCCATGTTAATCGCCAACGTCAAGGGGACTTGATAGGGCTCGTTAAGAAGAAGGAGTAGTAGGAAAAATATCTTCGTTATAATTTAAAATTTACTCACTTCGACTTTCCAATCACAGATCGCCTGTAAACTAGTTTACTTAAAATTTTAATTTCCGACGGGTTTATCCTGTTACTATTTTTTTTTTACTTTCTACCATTTTCAAGGTCTTCTGTCCTGGTCTATTAATTTTTAAAACAAGCAACAAAAATTATATTAATATTATTTACAATTTATCATCACCACAAGGAATAATCCCACAACGTCAGAAAATATAACTTAAAAAATATCATGTCTGTTTTACAATAATTGTCGCTATTAATATTTTTATTAGTTTTATTTCTGATAATTTCTTATCTTTTCCGTCAGGAGTAACCAAATTCTGTTTTATTTCATTAGCGTCGTCATACAAGTATCCTTGACAAAATTTGTTTATGGTAAATTCGTTTTAAAATATTTAAAAAATAAAACTTTCTGACTATATGCAAACCAACAGCTTCAGGCTGTATGCACTTCAGCAAAGACCGATTTGATCTTGGCATATAATATCTACTGCTCTACCTTCTCAGACTTAATTAAATCTCTACGTCTATTAGTTTCTGTGTAATTGGCATTTTACTAACCAAACCGTATTTGCCAACCTGTCCTTCTCTATATACGTTTCCTGTTATACGGATTAGTTGGTCTATTAACAGCCGGTGGTATTCCTCTGGTGTATGTAAGCACACCGGCGTATATAAATGGACACAATGTGACTTATTTGCAAATCGACTACAGGATTATTCCATTACAGGATGTTCTCTATGGGAAACTCCATTTCGCGGGGGCTGAAACTTATTCTTAAGAAAGGGGATAAGATCTAGGGTGTAGTTTGAGGTCGTTGGCCTAGGTTCTGTTTTCGTCTACCAGGTGTCAGATTTTATCCTAAAGACGCCATTGATACAGTTATAGGAAATATCTTTTTTAATTATTTAAAATAAATAATTAAAACATGTATATAGTTTTAGTTACTTATACTAATATTGTACTTTCTAATTAGAGTGAGCATACAATTACTATTTTTTGTTAATTTAGTAATTATTAGTATAATTTATACTCTCGGAAAGAACCACGTTGAGAATTTACTGTTCGACGTTTCGGCACCCATTTTCAATATGGATACGGTTCCGTTACGGAATCGGATACGGCTGTCCTAAAATGAAGAAAAAACATGAGAAAATAAGTCAACACTAAAAATCTGATCGAAGAAAGAAGGAGGCTAAAGGACAGGTATAACACAAACTATACAGAATTTAGTCAACTCAGTAAAACAATAAACAAAGAAATCCGAAAAGACATACGGCAACATGAGAGAGGTGATAAGGGTGATAGAGAAAAATAGAAGTCTGAAAGTTCTAAGACACAACATATCCACAGGAAAAAAGAACATACATAAGTTAAGAAATAAACAAGACGACATTGTGACTGATAAGGAAGTAGAATGAAGTGGATGAAAACAGTGGAAGACTTCTACAGACAACTCTATGAAACAAGTGCATCCGATGAAAGACGCCCTTTACCAAAGATAGAGAATCAAGGTTCAGAATTAATGCCGAACATAACTGCATTAATCCCCAGGTGAAGACAGGGTAATGACCGCAAGCCTAAAACTAGAAGGAAATAAGTTCTTACTGACACTTGCTAAACTATTCAATAAATGTCTGTGCGAAGCGATAACACCGACGCAGTGGAACAACGCGGAAATCATCTTACTTCATAAGAAGGGAGATATCAGCGACTTTAAAAACTACCGCCCCATTAGAGAGCAAGCAGGTTTTAGAGCAGGATATGGCACGAATGATCATTTACAAGTAATTAAGAACTTAATAGAAAAGAGTGTTGAATATAACAAGCCATTAGTCATGATATTTGTTGACTACGAAAAAGCTTTTGACACAATAAGTCATCAAAAGATGTTAAACGCCTTAACATATTGCTATAGTGAGTATAGATCATCGCTATATAAACATGATAAAATACATCTATCAAAATGGGACAGCAAGCATGAAACTGGCAGATAAAAAGACCAACGTATTTAAAATAAAACGATGAGTGCGACAGTGAGACACAATTTCGCATGCAAATCTGAGTGAAAAAGGAATTAATGTCAATGGAGAAATGCTTAGTCATTTGAGGTTTGCTGACGATATTGTCCTTTTTGCTGACAGAATCGATGATA